GTCACAGTGGTCAGGTATTCTGCCACTGTGTACTCTCTGTTTAGTGCCAAATAGCATTCCAGTTTGCTCTGTTTTTTGGTAAATGTTTTCCAATGTGTCAAGTAATTACTCTTCTCTAGGTTAATCTCTCTGTAGGTGATGGCTTTGTTATGGAAGTTTTGGGATTCACTTCCTTTTAGGTTGTAGAATTTAATTGCTATATTCCTGATTTTGATAAATAGCGGGTATCGGCCTAATTCTGCTCTGAATGCATTATTTGGGGTTTTACGTTGTACACAGAGGATGTTTTTACAGAGTCTCAATTTGGTGTTTGTCCCATTTTGTGAATTCTTGGTTTGTGAGCAGACCCCAGACCTCCCAACCATAAAGGGCAATGGGGGTTCTATAACTGATTCAAGTATTTTTTAGCCAGATCCTAATTGGGATGTCGAATTTTATGTTCCTTTTGATGGCGAAGAAGGCCCTTCTTGCCTTGTTTCTCGGATTGTTCACAGCTTTGTAGAAGTTATCTGTGGTGCTGATGTTTAGGCTGAGGTACAGTGCATTGGGAAAGTATTCAGACCCCTTTACCTTTTCCACATTTTGTTACGTTACAGCCTTATTCTAAAATTGATTAAATTGTATTTTTTCTTCATCAATCTACACACAATACCCCATAATGCCAAAGAAAAAACAGGTTTTTAGAAATGTTTTGCAAATGTATAAAAAAAAGAAAACGGAAATATCACATTTACGTAAGTATTCAGACCAGTTACTCAGTGCTTTGTTGAAGCACCTTTGGCAGCGATTACAGCCTTGAATCTTCTTGGGTATAACGCTACAAGCTTGGCACACCTGTATTTGGGGAGTTTGTCCCATTCTTCTCTGCAGATCCTCTCAAGCTCTGTCAGGTTGGATGGGGAGTGTCGCTGTACAGCTATTTTCAGGTCTCTCCAAAGATGTTTGATTGGGTTCAAGCCTGTGCTCTGGCTGGGCCACTCAAGGACATTCAGAGACTTGTCCCGAAGCCACTCCTGCGTTGTCTTGGCTGTGTGCTTAGGGTCGTTGTTCTGTTGGAAGGTGAACCTTGGCCCCAGTCTGATGTACTGAGCGTTCTGGAGCAGGTTTTCATCAAGGATCTCTCTGTACTTTCCTCCGTTCATCTTTCCCTCGATCCTGACTTGTCCCCCAGTGCCTGTCGCTGAAAAACATCCCCACAGCATGATGCTGCCACCACCATGCTTCACCGTAGGGATGGTGCCTGGTTTCCTCTAGACGTGATGCTTGGCATTCAGGCCAAAGAGTTCAATCTTGGTTTCATCAGACCAGAGAATCGTATTTCTCATGGTCTGAGTGTCTTTAGTTACCTTTTGGCAAACTCCAAGCGGGCTGTCAAGTGCCTTTTATTGAGGAGTGGCTTCCATCTGGCCACTATACCATAAAGGCCTGATTGGAGGAGTGCTGCAGAGATGGTTGTCCTTCTGGAAGGTTCTCCCATCTCCATAGAGGAACTCTGAAGCTCTGTCAGAGTGACCATCGGGTTCTTGGTCACCTCCCTGACCAAGGCCCTTCTCCCCCGATTGCTCAGTTTGGCCGTGTGGCCAACTCTGGGAAGAGTCTTGGTGGTTCCATACTTCTTCCATTTAAGAATTATGGAGGCCACTGTGTTTTGGGGGACCTTCAATGCTGCAGAAATGTTTTGGTACCCTTCCCCAGATCTGTGCCTCGACACAATGCTGTCTCTGAGCTCTACGGACAGTTCCTTTGACCTCATGGCTTGGTTTTTGCTCTGACAACTATGGGACCTTATATAGACAGGTGTGTGTCTTTCCAAATCATGTCCAATCAATTGAATTTACCACAGGTGGACTCCAATCAAGTTGTAGAAACATCTCAAGGATGATTAATGGAAACAGGATGCACCTGAGCTCAATTTCGAGTCTCATTAGCGAAGGGTCTGAATACTTATGTAAATAAGGTATTTCTGTTTTTAAGTTTTAATACATTTGCAAAGATTTCTAAAAACCTGTTTTCACTTTGTCATTATTGTCTATGGATTGATGAGGATTATATATATATTTTAATCCATTTTAGAATAAGGCTGTAACTTACCAAAATGTGGAAAGAGTCAAGGGCTCTGAATACTTTCCAAATGCACTGTAGGTATAGTTTTTTGTGTGCTCTAGGGCAATGGTGTCTAGATGGAATTTGTATATGTGGTCCTGGCAACTGGACCTTTTTTGGAACACCATTATTTTTGTCTTACTGAGATTTACTGTCAGGGCACAGGTCTGACAGAATCTGTGCAGAAGATCTAGGTGCTGCTGTAGGCCCTCCTTGGTTGGGGACAGAAGCAGCAGATCATCAGCAAACAGTAGACATTTGACTTCAGATTCTAGTAGGGTGAGGTCGACTGTTCTAGTGCCCTCGCCAATTTGTTGATGTATATGTTGAAGAGGGTGGGGCTCAAGTTACATCCCTGTCTCACCTCACGACCCTGTGGAAAGAAATGTGTGTGTTTTTTGCTAATTTTAACTGCACACTTGTTGTTTGTGTACATGGATTTTATAAAGTTTTATGTTTTTTCCCAACACCGCTTTCCATCAATTTGTATAGCAGACCCTCATGCCAAATTGAGTTTAAAGATTTTTTGAAATCAACAAAGCATGAGAAGACTTTGCCTTTGCTTTGGTTTGTTTGTTTGTCAATTAGGGTGCGCAGGGTAAATACGTGGTCTGTCATACGGTAATTTGGTAAAAAGCCAATTTGACATTTGCTCAGTACATTGTTTTCACTGAGGAAATGTACAAGTCTGCTGTTAATGATAATGCAGAGGATTTTCCCAAGGTTGCTGTTGACGCATATCCCACAGTAGTTATTGGGGTCAAATTTGTCTCCACTTTTGTGGATTGGGGTGATCAGTCCTTGGTTCCAAATATTGGGGAAGATGCCAGAGCTGCGGATGATGTTAAAGAGTTTAAGTATAGCCAATTGAAATTTGTGGTCTGTATATTTTATAATTTCATTAAGGATACCATCAACACCACAGACCTTTTTGGGTTGGAGGGTTTGTATTTTGTTCTGTAGTTCATTCAATGTAATCGGATAATCCAGTGGGTTCTGGTAGTCTTTAATAGCTCATTCTAAGATTTGTAATTGATCATATATGTTTTTGCTGTTTGTTCTTTGTTTTAGAACCAAAAAGATTGGAGAAGTGATTTATCCTTACATCTCCATTTTGGATAGAGAACTCTTCGTGTTGTTGTTTGTTTAGTGTGTTACAATTTTCCCGGAAGTAGTTAGATTTTATGATTCTTCAATTAAATTGAGCTGATTTCTGTTCCTTCTTTTTCCGTAGTGTATTTCTGTATTGTTTTAGTGATTCACCATAGTGAAGGCGTATACTCAGGTTTTCTGGGTCTCTACGTTTTTGGTTGGATAGGTTTCTCAATTTCTTTCTTAGGTTTTTGCATTCTTCATCAAACCGTTTGTCATTGTTTTTAATTTTCTTAGGTTGTCTGCTTGAAATTTTTAGATTTGATAGGTTAGCATAAAGGTCAAATATACTGTTTAGGCTTTCTCCTACCAAGTTTACACCTTCACTATTACAGTGAAATGTTTTGTCCAGGAAGTTGTTTAAAAGGGATTGAATTCGTTGTTGCCTAATAGTTTTTTGGTAGGTTTCTACAGTACTTTCCTTCCATCTATAGCATTTCTTAATATTGTGCATTTCTTTTGGCTTTGATGCCTCATGTTTGAGTATTGCTCTGTTCAAGTAGTCTGTGATTTTGCTGTGATCTGATAGGGGTGTTAGTGGGCTGACTGTGAACGCTCTGAGAGACGCTGGGTTGAGGTCAATGATAAAGTAATCTACAGTACTACTGCCAAGGATAAGCTGTAGGTGTACCTACCCTAGGAGTCTCCTCGAAGCCTACCATTGAATATGTACAGACCCAGCATGCGACAGAACTGCAGGAGTTGTGACCCGTTTCTATTGGTTGTTTTTGTCATAGTTGTGTCTAGGGGGGCATATTTGGGAGGGAATACTGTCACCTCCAGGTAGGTGTTTGTCCCCCTGTATGCTGAGAGTGTCAGGTTCTTGTCCAGTTCTGGCATTTAGTTCACCACAGACTAGTACATGTCCCTGGGCCTGGAAATGGTTGATCTTCCCCTCTAGGATGGAGAAGCTGTCATCATTAAAGTATGGGGATTCTATTGGGGGATATAGGTAGCACACATGAGGACATTTTTCTCTATTGAGATAATTTCCTTATTCATTTCTATCCAGATGTAAAATGTTCCAGTTCTATACCAAATTAGCATACCCCCTGAGTCTCTTCCCTGTTTCACACCTGGTAGTTTGGTGGATGGGACTACCAGCTCTCTGTAACCTAGAGGGCAACAAGTGGGTCCGTCTCCTATATACCATGTTTCTTGTAGGATGACAATGTCTGCATTTCTGATTTCTTTGAAGAAGTCTGGGTTCCTGCTCTTTAGGCCAAAGGCAGATGACCTCAGACCTTATGTATTCCAGGATGAGATATTAAAAGCTTTGTGTTCCATAGTGTCTAGTGTTGTTTTCAAGGGGTTTAGGCCCGGACCATTACAGTAGGTGTGAGCAGAGCATGTTGAGCATCTGATACATACCTCTTAGGTGGCAGGATGGGGCTTGGGCGGGTGTATTAGAGGGGGTTGGGCCTGTTGCTCTGCTCACGGCCTGGGCATATGAGCGGCTGTCTCTCTATCTCTCTGCTCGTATCATAAAGAAACAGCCCTGCTATTTCAATCTACCCACCACCTACACACCCACACCATGTCACCACAGAGACGTGGAAAAGCAATAAATCCACACTTAACCATGCTGCTCTTTTATTGCCCAGAATCCCTTTCTTACACAGACACACACTTCCACACACTATTCAGGCCCGCCGCACTTCACACACGTGCCGTCAAATTTGATCTGAGAAGATACTGCTGCGGTCTTCATGCCCACTTTCATCCCTCCATCCTTCCTTCCCTAGAGGAGGAGAGAAGGAAGAGAGGAGGAGGAGGTGAAGTAGAAAGTGGGGGTTTAATCAATTCAGCTCAGAGAAGAGGAGAGACCAGCAGCATAGTGACCTGGGGTGATATGGTATTGATTGTCTACCTTCTGGAGCCCCCCTTTCATCCTCTCTCTCTCACTATCCTCCTGATATATATCGGGGCTCTCTCGACTCTCTATCTATGCTCTATAACGTATGCGAATCTAGAGATCTATTCTCTCTCTCTCTATCTACTCGATCTTCCTATATATATCTAGAGATATATCCTCTCTTCTCTCTCTCTTCTCTCTCCTCTCTCTCTCTCTACTTATTTGTCGTTCTGAACTTTGGAACAGTACTGTTGAAATGTGTATTAGTGTGAAGTCTGGTTATTGGTGGGACTGTGGTGAGTGAGTAATGCCCGTACTGTATTACTGTGTGTAGGATTAGAAGAAGGTAGGACAGATATTACTATATAACAGACAGGCAGAGTACTGTAAACACACACACACGTAAGAAAGGGTTTTGGTTAGAAAGGTTTCACATTGGGTAAAATAAGAGCTTTCTTGAAATCAGGTCAATGAGTGTTGGATTCCATGTACTGTATTGTACTGTGTGTGTGTGTGTCTAATGAATAGTACCAGTATAACTAGCATCATTGCTGTCCTGCTAGCCTGGGGTGGGACCGTCTGTCTCAAAGGTTTCCTGTTTTCTCCCTCTAGTTCTCCAAGGATAAGTATCTGCTGGAGTCTCCACCAGAGAAACTACGCAAGGAGCTGGAGGAGGAGCTGAGACTCTGCAGCAGCGATATCAGGAGCCATGGCTGGTACCATGGACACATCCCACGAGAGGTACACACACACACACACACATAATATATACATACACACACACACACACACACACACAGAGTATATACATACACACACACACACACAGAGTATATACACACACACACACACACACACACACACACACACACAGAATATATACATACACACACACACACACACACACACACAGAGTATATACACACACACACACACAGAATATATACACACACACACACACACAGAATATATACATACACACACACACACACACACACACACACAGAGTATATACATACACACACACACACACACAGAGTATATACATACACACACACACACAGAGTATATACACACACACACACACAGAGAGTATATACATACACACACACACACAGAGAGTATATACACACACACACACACACACACACACACACAGAGTATATACATACACACACACACACACAGACTATATACATACCCACACACACACACAGAGTATATACAGTGGGGAAAATAAGTATTTAGTCAGCCACCAATTGTGCAAGTTCTCCCACTTAAAAAGATGAGAGAGGCCTGTAATTTTCATCATAGGTACACGTCAACTATGACAGACAAAATGAGAAAAATTAATCAAGAAAATCACATTGTAGGATTTTTTATGAATTTATTTGCAAATTATGGTGGAAAATAAGTATTTGGTCAATAACAAAAGTTTCTCAATACTTTGTTATATACCCTTTGTTGGCAATGACACAGGTCAAACGTTTTCTGTAAGTCTTCACAAGGTTTTCACACACTGTTGCTGGTATTTTGGCCCATTCCTCCATGCAGATCTCCTCTAGAGCAGTGATGTTTTGGGGCTGTCGCTGGGCAACACGGACTTTCAACTCCCTCCAAAGATTTTCTATGGGGTTGAGATCTGGAGACTGGCCAGGCCACTCCAGGACCTTGAAATGCATCTTACGAAGTCACTCCTTCGTTGCCCGGGCGGTGTGTTTGGGATCATTGTCATGCTGAAAGACCCAGCCACGTTTAATCTTCAATGCCCTTGCTGATGGAAGGAGGTTTTCACTCAAAATCTCACGATACATGGCCCCATTCATTCTTTCCTTTACACGGATCAGTCGTCCTGGTCCCTTTGCAGAAAAACAGCCCCAAAGCATGATGTTTCCACCCCCATGCTTCACAGTAGGTATGGTGTTCTTTGGATGCAACTCAGCATTCTTTGTCCTCCAAACACGACGAGTTGAGTTTTTACCAAAAAGTTCTATTTTGGTTTCATCTGACCATATGACATTCTCCCAATCCTCTTCTGGATCATCCAAATGCACTCTAGCAAACTTCAGATGGGCCTGGACATGTACTGGCTTAAGCAGGGGGACACGTCTGGCACTGCAGGATTTGAGTCCCTGGCAGCGTAGTGTGTTACTGATGGTAGGCTTTGTTACTTTGGTCCCAGTTCTCTGCAGGTCATTCACTAGGTCCCCCCGTGTGGTTCTGGGATTTTTGCTCACCGTTCTTGTGATCATTTTGACCCCACGGGGTGAGATCTTGCGTGGAGCCCTAGATCGAGGGAGATTATCAGTGGTCTTGTATGTCTTCCATTTCCTAATAATTGCTCCCACAGTTGATTTCTTCAAACCAAGCTGCTTACCTATTGCAGATTCAGTCTTCCCAGCCTGGTGCAGGTCTACAATTTTGTTTCTGGTGTCCTTTGACAGCTCTTTGGTCTTGGCCATAGTGGAGTTTGGAGTGTGACTGTTTGAGGTTGTGGACAGGTGTCTTTTATACTGATAACAAGTTCAAACAGGTGCCATTAATACAGGTAACGAGTGGAGGACAGAGGAGCCTCTTAAAGAAGAAGTTACAGGTCTGTGAGAGCCAGAAATCTTGCTTGTTTGTAGGTGACCAAATACTTATTTTCCACCATAATTTGCAAAGAAATTCATTAAAAATCCTACAATGTGATTTTCTGGATTTTTTTTCCTCAATTTGTCTGTCATAGTTGACGTGTACCTATGATGCAAATTACAGGCCTCTCTCATCTTTTTAAGTGGGAGAACTTGCACAATTGGTGGCTGACTAAATACTTTTTTCCCCCACTGTATATACACACACACACACACACACACACACACACACAGAGTATATACACACACACACACACACACACACACACACACACACACACACACACACACACAGAGTATATACATACACACACACACACACACACACACAGAGTATATAATTACCCACACACAGAGTATATACATACACACACACACACACACACACAGAGTATATACATACACACACACAGAGTATATACATACACACACACACAGAGTATATACATACACACACAGAGTATATACATACACACACACAGAGTATATACACACACACACACTAAAGCTGGGTGATGTGGAGAAAAATCCAGATCACGATAAATTGCCTAAATTGATGCAATAATGATAAATAGAACAATAGGTTTATAACAGTAATATGATATAACAATGTGCACCACAGTTTTTAAAAACGATCCTTTAAACTACTACAACTAGTGTGATGGTTGTAGACATCAACTGTCCCATTAACAATCAGCCATATTAGCAAACTTATTTCATTTCAAACTTATCGTAATGAACGATATCAGCAAAATGCCTGCAATAAGTGATCGTGTCGATCATTTTCGGTGTATTGTCCCAGCTCTAACACGCACGTGCACACATACACGCAACTGCAGGCTTACACACACACAAAGTGCACACACATACACATAAGCAGGCATGCACAAACACACGCACACACACACACACACGCACACACACAAAGAGTGCAATCTACTAATATTCACCTGCCGTTGTTTTCTTAGTTGGTGACGTTTAATGCACAATAAAAGCCCTATACTTGCATTCATACTAGCCTTACACCTTCCACTCTAGAATTGATTGGCATTCTTACTGATTAATTTACAAAATGAACAGCTTTCTTTTAAAACTGCAAAATCCAAAACTTGTAAAAAGTTATTCACCCTGGATTGACATTAATTTGGAAACAGGGTTAGGAGGGCACAGCTGTGTGTGTCTGTCTGTTGGCGCTGGATACATAACAGTATCAACAGCTGGTGAATACACACACATACACACACATCGGTGTGGCTTCACTGTCCTCCTGACCCACCCATACTCCTCTCTCTCTCTGTAGTGTGAGTTAAACCATCTGTGAATCTCCCTACCTGTGAGGCTCCAGCGTACATTAACATAATGCTACATTCATACTGGGGTAAACAGACAGAACAGGGCTTATCCTCGCTGCTAAAACAATACACTGTGTCTCCATGGTGATGGCTCCCATGCAGGCAGCAGCAGCAGCCTGTCTGTATGCAGTGCTCTTGGTGCTGCTATCTCTGGCCTGTAGTAACAGCACCCCCTGTTGGAGATAAGGAGAAATGCTTTACAATGGTATCACCGTCACTTAGACATGGTGCTACAGTATATTCTATATTATAATCTGGTGCTGATTGGCTGAAAGCTGTGGTATATCAGACCGTACACCACAGGTATGACAAAAAGTTACTTTTTACTGTTCTATTTACGTTGGTAACCAGTTTATAATAGCAATAAGGCATCTCGGGGAGTTTGTGGTATATGGCCAATATACCACGGCTAAGGGCTGTATCCAAGCACTCCGTGTTGGGTCGTGCTTTAAGAACAGCCCTTAGCCGTGGTATATTGGCCATATACCACACCCCCTCGGGCCTTATTGCTTAAGTATGTACCTATTTATATCAAGTAGGATCTTTTCACATTTTATTGTGTTACAAAGTGGGATTACAATTGATTGAATTGTCATTTTTTTTGTCAACAATTTACTCAAAATACTCAGTAATGTCAAAGTGGAAGAAAAATTCGTAAAAATAAAAAATGATTAATGCATTTTTTTATAACAAAAATATAGTAATTGCATAAGTATTCAGCCCCCTTGTTTAGGCAAGCCTAAATTAGTTCAGGAGTAACATTTGGGTTAACAAATCCCATAAGTTACATGAACTCAGTCTGTGTGAAATAGTAGGGGTTGACATTATTTTGTAATGACTAACCCTTCCTCTGTCCCCCATACATACAACATCTGTAAGGTCACTCAGTCAAGTATTGAATTTCAAGCCCAGATTCATCTACAAAGACCAGGGAGCTTTTCAAAAGCCTCAAAGAAGGGCAGTGATTGGTAGATGGGTAACAATAACAAATCAGACATTGAATATCTCTTTAAGCATGTTCAAGTTAATAATTATGCTGTGGATTATGTATTAACCACCTAGACACATCGAAGAGACAGTCGTCCTTCTGAACTGAGCTGCAGGACAGGAATGAAACTGCTCAGTGATGTTACCATGAGGCCCTTGGTCATTATAAAAGAGTTACAGAGTTCAATGGTTGTGATGGGAGAAAACTGAGGATGGATCAACAACATTGTAGTGACTCCACAATAATGACCTAAATGACAGAGTGAACAGAAGAATACAAATATACAGAATAAAAATACTCCAAAACATGCATCTTGTATGCAACAAGGCACTAAAGTAATCCTGCAAAATAAACACAGCAAAGGAATACACTTTTTGGCCTAAATGCAAAGTCTTATGTTTAGGGCAAATCCAACACAACACATCACTGAGTAACTGCCTCCTTATTTTCAAGCATGGTGTTGGCTGCATCATGGTATGGGTATGCTTGACATAGGTAAATACTGGGGAGTTTTTCAGGATAAAAGGAAATGGGATGGAGCTAAGCACAGCCAAAATCCTAGAGGAAACCCTGCTTCAGTCTGTATTACACCAGACACTGGGAGAGGAATTCAACTTTCGGCAGGACAATAACCTACATCACAAGGCCAAATCTACACTGGAGTTGCTTACCAAGAAGACAGTGTAGTGTATTAAGATTATGACTTTCTTAATGGGTTTAAGTGGAACCTTTGAGGATGTTTATTTTAGTATCAAGAGGGAATGTTTTAGTGTAACGCCACATACAACAGACAGGAAGTGTGTGTTGTAGACAGGGGATTGGACAGTAGAGGGAGCCACCCACATCTTGGGAAGATTATATATACTGGGTAAAAAGCGAAGAAGAGGTTAGAGCGGCCATTGCAATTCGGGGGATGCCGTTCTCCGGGTGATCTTGACACCTGTAAGCTCATGCTGAAATCTTGTGATATGAATAAACCTTATGATCAAAGTTCAGTATGAGCGGACTCTTTGTTTGACAGCAATAGGTACCAGCATCGACGCGATACCACAACAGTGAATGTTCCTGAGTGTCCAAGTTACAGTTTTGATTTAAATCTGCTTGAAAATCTATGGCAAGACTTACTGTCTAGCCGTGATCCCCACCACCTTGACATTTTGAAATGAATAATGGGCAAATATTGCACAATCCAGGTGTGTAAAGCTCTTAGAGACTTACCCAAGTAGACTCACAGCTGTAATCGCTGCCATGGGTTTCTAACATGTATTGACTCAAGGAGCTGAATACTTATGCAACAACTACATTTTAGTTATTTAATTGATATCATTAAAATATATATATATATATATTTTTTTTTTTATTCCACTTTGACATTACAAAGTATTTTTGTGTAGATTGTTGACAAAAATAATTACTATTAAATCAATTTGAATCCCACTTTGTAACACAATAACATTTGAAGAAATCCAAGGGGTATGAATATTTTTGCAAGGTCCTGTAACAATCCTCATAGGAAAGCTTTTTTGTATAGGCTCTGTCTCAACTCTTTGGATAACCAGTATGTAGCCTAGCCCCTAGATATGTTTCCTAGAAGACAACTTACAGTGAGGAAAAAAAGTATTTAGTCAGCCACCAATTGTGCAAGTTCTCCCACTTAAAAAGAGGAGAGAGGCCTGTAATTTTCATCATAGGTACACGTCAACTATGACAGACAAAATGAGAAAAAAAAATCCAGAAAATCACATTGTAGGATTTTTTATGAATTTATTTGCAAATTATGGTGGAAAATAAGTATTTGGTCAATAACAAAAGTTTCTCAATACTTTGTTATATACCCTTTGTTGGCAATGACACAGGTCAAACGTTTTCTGTAAGTCTTCACAAGGTTTTCACACACTGTTGCTGGTATTTTGGCCCATTCCTCCATGCAGATCTCCTCTAGAGCAGTGATGTTTTGGGGCTGTCGCTGGGCAACACGGACTTTCAACTCCCTCCAAAGATTTTCTATGGGGTTGAGATCTGGAGACTGGCTAGGCCACTCCAGGACCTTGAAATGCTTCTTACGAAGCCACTCCTTCGTTGCCCGGGCGGTGTGTTTGGGATCATTGTCATGCTGAAAGACCCAGCCACGTTTCATCTTCAATGCCCTTGCTGATGGAAGGAGGTTTTCACTCAAAATCTCACGATACAAGGCCCCATTCATTCTTTCCTTTACACGGATCAGTTGTCCTGGTCCCTTTGCAGAAAAACAGCCCCATGCTTCACAGGTGTTCTTTGGATGCAACTCAGCATTCTTTGTCCTCCAAACACGACGAGTTGAGTTTTTACCAAAAAGTTCTATTTTGGTTTCATCTGACCATATGACATTCTCCCAATCCTCTTCTGGATCATCCAAATGCACTCTAGCAAACTATAGACGGGCCTGGACATGTACTGGCTTAAGCAGGGGGACACGTCTGGCACTGCAGGATTTGAGTCCCTGGCGGCGTAGTGTGTTACTGATGGTAGGCTTTGTTACTTTGGTCCCAGCTCTCTGCAGGTCATTCACTAGGTCCCCCCGTGTGGTTCTGGGATTTTTGCTCACCGTTCTTGTGATCATTTTGACCCCACGGGGTGAGATCTTGCGTGGAGCCCCAGATCGAGGGAGATTATCAGTGGTCTTGTATGTCTTCCATTTCCTAATAATTGCTCCCACAGTTGATTTCTTCAAACCAAGCTGCTTACCTATTGCAGATTCAGTCTTCCCAGCCTGGTGCAGGTCTACAATTTTGTTTCTGGTGTCCTTTGACAGCTCTTTGGTCTTGGCCATAGTGGAGTTTGGAGTGTGACTGTTTGAGGTTGTGGACAGGTGTCTTTTATACTGATAACAAGTTCAAACAGGTGCCATTAATACAGGTAACGAGTGGAGGACAGAGGAGCCTCTTAAAGAAGAAGTTACAGGTCTGTGAGAGCCAGAAATCTTGCTTGTTTGTAGGTGACCAAATACTTATTTTCCACCATAATTTGCAAATAAATTCATTAAAAATCCTACAATGTGATTTTCAGGATTTTTTTTTCTCAATTTGTCTGTCATAGTTGACGTGTACCTATGATGCAAATTACAGGCCTCTCTCATCTTTTTAAGTGGGAGAACATGCACAATTGGTGGCTGACTAAATACTTTTTCCCCCACTGTACTTACAGTCAATTAAAGCATGCCTTCATTTTATGCTACATATCTGAGACCTATAGGAGTCTCAGGGTGCATAATAAATTGTCTTTGTGCCAAACTGTGATTTTAAAGCCACTTTGTGTGCAGTTCTATTTACACAGGAAAAAGGGAGCGGTGTTATCCAAATGTTATATAAGGAACCTTGTAACAATGTAATCATAACTTTAATGATGCTATAGAATGATCCACGTAACAATCTTAAAACACTGTTATTATAAATGTGCCACTGTTACTAAATAACACCCCTTCCCTTCGGTCGACCTCCAGGTGTCAGAGACGGTGGTGCTGCGAAACGGTGATTTCCTGATCCGTGATTCGCTGATAAACGTGGGCGACTACGTCCTGACGACCAGGTGGAACCACGAGGTTCTGCACTTCAAGATCACCAAGGTCCTGGTCAAGTCCAGCACTGAGTCTAAGGTATGTGTTGTAACTTACATAATTTACATAATGTTTGTTTGTAACTTTACTGTTTTTAATGATTTAGTTATTTTGGGGTAAAACAATTCTTACAGTTAAAAACTATTTAAAAGTACAAAGAATCCCAGAGGATGACACATGAAAAGCATGAAAAACACTTATTTCCAATTTGTTAACCACAAGCATACACATGTCCATTTATTTAACATTTTATTGGACAATAAAGATGTTCAATTCAATTCCAGGTCCAGTACCTGTTAGAGAAAGACAGCTTCGACTCTTTACCTGATCTGATGAGGTACTACGTGGCCGGGCGGCGGCCTGTCTCCCAGCCCAGCGGAGCCCTGATCTACTGTCCAATCATACGCACCCTCCCCTTGCGTTACCTGGAAGCAACGTTTGCCTTAGCCAATAGCAGACACGGCCTAGCCCACTCACCATCCAGTCAGAAAGGAGCGTACATCAAGAGGAGGAGCGTGACCATGAACGACGGATTGACCACGGACAAGCTGATACCTCACAGGTCAGAGACTAGAGAGAGAGAGGGAGCCTTTCATAGATCGTTACACAATCTACTTCTTGAGATTCATGTGTGTGTATGTCTGTGTGCAAGTGTATGTACAGTATGTATGTGTGTATGTGTGTGTGTCTCAGTGGTGTAAACCAGATGTTTCATTGCCCATTCATTTCCATTGTGTGGTCAGTGACGTGGAGTCCATCAGTCCATTGGAACCACCAGTTTCCCCAGTACCAGTCCAAGTACCTGCACCAAAACCAGAAGCAGTACCAGTTGTTCCAAAGCCAGAAGTGGAGGCTGCTGTTGTGGGGTGCAGGTGGTGTGTGTGAGCCCGTTTGGGTCAGAACACTGGTGTCATGACAGAGCACTGACCCCTTCTCACTCTCACCCCCTGCCCCAGATTCACTGAGAACATGTGTATACTGTAGCTACATGGCTCTGTGTTAGACTAGCTGCTACACCAGTCACTCTGACCTCTGACCTCTCTCCTTATAATGCATGTATCTTTCCTTCTCCTATGCACAGCAACCAGGATCTGAGTGTAGGAGAGATCCACCTTAGCCTGGTCACAGATCTGTTTGTGTTGTCTTGTCAACTCTTTGCTGTCTTGTCAACTCTTTGTTTGTTGTCTTGTCAACTCTGTGTTTGTTGTCTTGTCAACTCTGTGTTTGTTCTCTTGTCAACTCTGTGTTTGTTGTCTTGTCAACTCTTTGTGTTTGTTGGCTTGTCAACTCTTTGTGTTTGTTGTCTTGTTAACTCTTTGTGCAGTCTTGTCAACTCTTTGTGCTGTCTTGTCAACTCTTTGTGCTGTCTTGTCAACTCTTTGTGTTTGTTGTCATGTCAACTCTTTGCGCTGTCTTGTCAACTCTGTTGTTTTGTCAACTCTTTGTGTTGTCTTGTCAACTATTTGTGCTGTCTTGTCAACTCTTTGTGCTGTCTTGTCAAATCTTTGTGCTGTCTTGTCAACTCTTTGTGCTGTCTTGTCAACTCTTTGTGCTGTCTTGTCAACTCTTTGTGTTTGTTGTCTTGTCAACTATTTTTATTTGTTGTCATGTCAACTCTTTGCACTGTCTTGTCAACTCTGTTGTCTTGTCAACTCTTTGTGCTGTCTTGTCAACTCTTTGTGCTGTCTTGTCAACTCTTTGTGCTGTCTTGTCAACTCTTTGTTGTTTTGTCAACTCGTTGTGTTTGTTGTCTTGTCAACTCTTTGTGCTGTCTTGTCAACTCTGTGTTGTCTTGTCAACTCTTTGTGTTTGTTGTCTTGTCAACTCTTTGCGCTGTCTTATCAACTCTTTGTGCTGTCTTGTCAACTCTTTGTGCTGTCTTGTCAACTCTTTGTGTTGTCTTGTCAACGCTTTCTGTTTGTTGTCTTGTCAACTCGTTGTGTTTGTTGTCTTGTCAACTCTTTGTACTGTCTTGTCAACTCTGTGTTGTCTTGTCAACTCTTTGGGTTTGTTGTCTTGTCAACTATTTGTGCTGTCTTGTCAACTCTTTGTGCTGCCTTGTCAACTCTTTGTGCTGCCTTGTCAACTCTTTGTGCTGCCTTGTCAACTCTTTGTGCGGTCTTGTCAACTGATATGGTCATTGTCTTGCCAAATATAACAGTAATCATAAGAGTTGGTTATGCAGCACAAACAGATCTGGGACCAGGCTAAGGTTGACCTGTGTTTCACCTCTTCACAGTAGACCAATTGGATAAAATGTATAGCTGGCACTTAACTTACGAGATGACTTGATTTGGAGCGTTGCTAAAACTTGCTCGATTCAGACATATGTTTCAGACCAGACAACATACCCTCCATGGGCCCACAGCCATATTAAAGACCAATGGAAAACGAGTGTGTTTGTTGGTGTTTGCAGCTCCTCTACTATTCACAACCACAAGGACACCATTAGGAACTGTACTCTGAGTATGGACCTCATCCAAGAGTATCGCCGTCCTCCTGTAGAGGAGACACCTCTCTCCCCAGCCTACAGCCACAGTGAGTCCTTTCTATGGAGATTATTGAATTATTAAGAGATTATGGAGATTATAGATAATTCATTGAGATTATTGCATACTGTGTGGGTTTGGTGGTCCTTTTGATTGAGCCTTTCTGGACTGCCAGATGAGAACTTTTGGGGGTTTGCACTTTTGGAATAGTCCATTGGGCCCATTGCACCATGCAAGCTCAATCAATCAAGCGCAGCTGAAGTACATTGAGTGTACAAAACATTAAGAACAGCTTCCTAATATTGAGGTGCATATTTTGCCCTCAGAACAGCTTCAATTCGTCGGGGCATGGACTCTACAAGGTGTTGAAAGTGTTCCATAGGGATGCTGGCCCATGTTGATTCCAATGTTTCCCACAGTTGTGTCAAGTTAGCTGGATGTCCTTTGGGTGGTGGACCATTCTTGATACACACGGGAAACTGTTGAGCGTGAAAAACCCAGCAGCGTTGCAGTTCTTTACACACTCAAACTGGTGCGACTGGCAACTACTACCATACCCCGTTCAAAGGCACTTACATTTTTTGTCTTGACCATTCACCCTCACAACACATACACAATCCATGTCTCAATTGTCAAGGCTTAAACATCCTTCTTTAACCGGTCTCCTCCCCTTCAGCTTCACTGATTGAAGGATTTAACAAGTGACATCAATAAGGGATCATAGCTTTCACCTGGATTCACCTGGTCCAGGTGTTCTTAATGTTTTGTACACTCAGTGTATTTGTAAGAAAACCAATACTATTTGTGAACCCAGGTCTGGAATATACATGTGTAACCCTCTGCTTCTATCTCCAGTCCACAGACACAGAACCCAGTCAGGGGGTAGACTTCTGGCCGTGGTGCCCCCCTCGCCAATCCTGAGACGCTCCAGCGACCCCCAGCTCAGCCCTGGCTCCAACAACAACCTACCCGACATGCTAGAAGCCAGCTCACACTCCACCCCGGCCCACTGCTCCTATATAACCCCAGCAGAGGGCTCCGAGACGGGGGGCAGCTACTGCGACCTACGGCCCACCCCGGCCCTCTGTCCTGAGGCTCCCTGTGCTGCCGGCATGCCTCACACACCTCCCGCTAAGAGCTACGTGGAGCGGCTGCGTGTGGAGGAGGGCCGAGGGCCTGCCCCAGGGAGGGAGGATGGGGCTCGGGGAGAGGCGTTCAGCGCCCCCCTGGTGGAAACAGCCTCCTCCTTCAGACCAGGGAAGTACCTCTCGCCCCTGATGGCCTCGGAGAACAAGCCCTTAGAGATGAGCATTCTGAAGAGGGTTAAAGAGCTTCTGGCGGAGGTGGACGCTAGGACGGCTGCTAAACACATCACCATGGCTGACTGCATGGTATGGACACCGCGCACATACAGGACATATAGAGAGACACGGGCACAAACACACGCAATACGCATATACCATCCACACTTTATTAAAGCTAGAGCTCATATCTAAAACCGAAGCAGGCTAACGGTTTGTTCCTTGGGCCTGTGAACATAACTCAGTGATGTCACCAATTCCCAAATGTCAGCCACAGTACTGTGTCAGAGTGTTGCTCAATGAACTCCTGTTAACAGTGGAGCAGCAGAGAGCAGAGAGGTTAACACAGGGATGACTATGCTATCCTCAGAACTATTTACTCTACTCATTATTTGGTAACATTTGAATTAAGAGACAATTAACCACCAGTCTCAGTGACTGTGAATACATTAAATTAGAAATTACAATAAACCCTTCCCCTCGCTCCCTCCCTCCCTCCCTCCCTCCCTCTCCTCTCCTCTCCTCATTTCCTTCCTCTCCTCTCCTCATTTCCTCCCTCTCCTCTCCTCTCCTCTCTTCCTCCCTCTCCTCTCCTCATTTCCTCCCTCTCCTCTCCTCTCTTCCTCCCTCTCCTCCCTCTCCATTTCCTCCCTCTCCTCTCCTCTCCTCATTTCCTCCCTCTCCTCTCCTCATTTCCTCCCTCTCCTCTCCTCTCCTCTCCTCATTTCCTCCCTCTCCTCTCCTCTCCTCTCTTCCTCCCTCTCCTCTCCTCATTTCCTCCCTCTCCTCTCCTCTCCTCATTTCCTCTCTCTCCTCTCTCCATTTCCCCTCTCCTCTCCTCTCCTCTCCTCTCCTCTCCTCTCCTCTCCTCTCCTCTCCTCTCCTCTCCTCTCCTCTCCTCTCCTCTCCTCTCCTCATTTCCTCTCTCTCCTCTCTCCATTTCCTCTCTCTCCTCCCTCTCCATTTCCTCTCTCTCCTCCCTCTCCATTTCCTCCCTCTCCTCCCTCTCCATTTCCTCCCTCTCCTCTCTCTCCATTTCCTCCCTCCCTCTGTGTTGTGCTCCCTCCCTCTGTCTGTGTGAAGGTTGCAAGAATACTGGGCGTTACCGAGGAGATGCAGAGGATGATGGGAGTGGGCTCAGGACTGGAGCTGTTGACTCTTCCTCACGGACACCAGCTGAGACTGGACCTACTGGAGCGGTAAGGGTTAGGGTGGTAAGTGTTAGGGTGGTTAGGGTTAGGGTGGTTAGGGTTAGGGTGGTTAGGATTAGGGTGGTTAGGGTTAGGGTTGTTGTTGAGGGTTAGGGTTGAACCGGGATATGGACATGAAGCTAGGGTTAGTGTTCGAGTTGAGGCTAGGGTTAGGATAGAACCGGGATGTCTACATGAAGCTAGGGTTAGGAGTAGGGTTGTCGTTGATGCTGTTCTCTTCCAATTCTTCCTTGTTTCATCCTCCTCCCCTCCTCCCTCCCTCCTCCTCAGGTTCTATACTATGTCTATAATGATGGCTGTGGACCTGCTGGGCTGTACAGGCAGTACGGAGGAGAGGGCTGCTCTGCTCCATAAGACCATCCAGCTGGCTGCTGAACTCAAGAGCAACCTGGGGAACATGTTCGGCTTCGCCGCTGTGATGAGAGCACTGGAGCTACCACAGGTATGGACCAAACATATACAGTACACACACACACACACACACACACACACACACAAAGACACACACACACACACAAAGACACACACACACACACACACAAAGACACACACACAGACGCAGTAAGACACACACAGACACAGTAATACACACACAGATGCAGTAATACACACACATACAAACCCAAATATCGGTAGAGGGAACATAATTATCTATGTGTTATATTGGCTCATGCTATTATATTTCTCTCTCTCTTCTCTTTTTCTTCTCTCCTCTCTTCTTCTCTCCTCTCTTCTTCTCTCCTCTCTTCTCTCACTCTCTCCGTCTCTCTCTCAGATCTCTCGTCTGGAGCAGACGTGGATGACGTTACGTCAGAGACACACAGAAGGAGCCATCCTCTATGAGAAGAAGCTCAAGCCTTTCATGAAGAACATGAACGATGGCAAAGGTATGGAGTTGGTGTGTGTGTGTGTGTGTGTGTGTTTCTGCGTGAGTTGTGTGTTTGACTTGCACAGGACACTGGTATCTGTGTGTAGATGTGTGTTTCTCTCTCTGTGTGTTCCAGAGAGCACTGTGCTGTCCAACACCTCCTTCCCTCATGTGGTTCCTCTGCTGTCTCTGCTGGAGAGGAGTGTGGCCGTGGGGGAGGGGCCAGGGGCAGGGATAGAACCCTGGGAGAAAGTGGAGGCGGGGGTTGACGTGGTGATGTCACACCTGGAGGCGGCCCGGACCATCGCTCACCATGGGGGGCTGTACCGCACCAACGCTGAGACCAAACTACATGGTAAGGCCTGTGGGAGCTGTGTGTGTGTACACGCTGTGTGTGTGCGCTGTGTATGTGTTTGACTTGCACACACACACACAAGGTCGGTTTCCCGGACTTAGATTACTGTTAGACACTCAGAGAATCTCATTCATCATTCGATAATCACAGACTCATTCAATCTTCATTGGAAGTGCTTTTTAGTCTAGTGACAGGTTTAATCCAGGTCCGGGAAACCATTAAATAGAGTAATAATAGTATTATAGTGTAGTGTGCCGAATCAGCTTTATTGCCATATTGTTATGGACTAACCACTAAGGGCTTGTCTGAGTAGTGGATGTTGTGCATTGATTTATTTGACTGACTAATAACTGTAGTGTTGCGGTACATGTTGAAGTTGTTGTGTTACTCCTTGATGCTGAGGCATCGTATTATCTGACGGTGTGTGTGTGTTCAATATGATGTATATAATGGTTCATTGACATTGATCTGAAATAATGGTTGAGATGTTGGTTGTTGTGGTATCTGTGCTAGTGTGGTGATGATGGTTACAGTATGTTGACATTTATCACCATCTGTTCTTATTGATTCCAGTCTGTAGTGGCGATTCCCTATGAAAAGCCACTGGCACAGGAGAGAGCTGTCCATAACACGTCCACAAAAATCAGCTTTCCAAATGTTACTCTTTTTGGGTGAAGTTCCCATTTATTGCGCATATAAAATATAAATAGCTCATATTCCTATACAAAAGGTGCAGAGAGATGCATTCTATAAGCTGTATCTGTGATATGGTAAGAACTGTATGTGCTCTCCTCTCACCTGTGCTAACCCTTCCTGGTCACCTGTGCTACCTATATACACACGTGACCAGTGACCCATGACCCCAACATATAGGGCCCTCTAGTGTACAAAACAAGTCAAAATAACCCTTGACAGACAACATATACACAACACATAAACTGGCCAAAATGGCTCCTACACAGTCCCTGGCGATGAGTGTATTGAGCAGGATGTCAATAACTATCTTAACTAGACTGTGTTTTCCACAATGTCTGTAATATTGATCAATCACTCTCTTTATTTCTCTTCTCCTCTTATGTTCTGGTGTCTCCTCTCCTCTTCTCCTCTCCTCCTCTCCTCCTCTCCTCCTCTCCTCTCCTCTCTTCTCTTCTCTTCTCTTCTCTTCTCTTCTCTTCTCTTCTCCTCTCCTCTCCTCTCCTCCTCTCCTCTCCTCTCCTCTCCTCTCCTCTCCTCTCCTCTCCTCTCCTCTCCTCTCCTCTCCTCTCCTCTCCTCTCCTCTCCTCTCCTCTCCTCTCCTCTCCTCTCCTCTCCTCCACCAGGCTTCCAGGAGAGGGAGGAGGTTCTGGAGATCTTCCGGACAGAGTTCCAGATGAGGTTGCTATGGGGAAGTCGGGGGTCGCAGGGCAGCCAATCAGAGCGCTATGAGAAGTTTGACAAAGTCCTGACCGCTCTGTCTTACAAGCTGGAACCTATTGTACGCCACAGTGAACTATAGCACCCATCTCACTGAACACCCCTATACACAGCACAGCACTCACAGTGGTATGGCCCGTCTCCCCACACTGCTGCTGTATGATTCCAATGTGAATACAAGGGGAGGAAGCAGCTAACAGACACAAGAGAATGGACTGAGAGAGGATTAGGGTACACTAAAAGAGAAGGAGCGTCTCACTGTATATCCCCCAAAAAGGCACAAAGGGCTTTTTCAGAGCTCTTAAACAGTGTGGGAACCTACATATTCTGCCTATCTTCAAAGTACAGATAATTGTATGGTGTGCACTTAGGGTCAAACAGCGCAGGGGAGGGAGTAGAGGGAAGAGGAAGCTCTGATTTGTCTCAAACCTCCCTCATTAGTACTGTCACACTCTGTTGTATCACCAACTTAGAGACAGTCATATTTAACACAATGTTTGTGCTCTTCAGGACACCTGTATCATAGATATAAAACGATCTCTCTCTATGACCTGTGTCACCAGACCTCGGCTTCAGACTGAGAGGTAGTGTGTTCTAGAATCTGTTGTTCTTGTATAAACTCTCTGCATGGCTGCCTTTCATTCCATATTCCATCACGTCCCCTGCAGTGTGCTCAGACAGTCTCTTATCTATCTGTTTTGAACAAGTCATAATATATGTTATGTTTCCAAATCACATCAGCTGTCAAAGAGAGTGATTGATCAATATTACAGACATTGTGGAAAACACAGTCTAGTTAAGATAGTTATTGACATACTGTGCTCTGCCAAAAAGCATTTTCTCTCTGTGGACTTTGTTTGTGTGCTGTTCTTATGAGGGCTCTTCTGAGAAGCATTCACCCCCCTCTCCTTTCCTCCGTTTCTGGCATGTCATAAATGTTTCTCAAATCAAATCAAAATCAAATTGCATTGGTCACATATTTAGCAGATGTTATTGTGGGTGTAGCGAAATATTTGTGGCATGTCATAAATGTTTCTGGCATGTCATTAATGTTTCTGGCATGTCATTAATGTTTCTCGCATGTCATTCATGTCAATTGGTAGTTACAGTGTTGTCCCATCGCTGCAACTCCCGTACAGACTTGGGAGAGGCGAAGGTCGTAGGTCGAGAACCATGCGTCCTCCGAAACACGACCCTGCCAAGCCGCTCTGCTTCTTGACACACTGCTCGCTTAACCCAGAAGCCAGCCACACCAATGTGTCAGAGGAAACACTGTACAACTGGCGACCGTTGCTAGAGCGCGATGGGACAAGGACATCCCAGCCGGCCAAACCCTCCCCTAACCCGGACGACGCTGGGCCAATTGTGCGGCGCCTCATGGGTCTCCCGGTCACGGCCGGCTGAGACACAGCCTGGGATCGACCCCGGGTCTGTAGTGACGCCTTAGACCGCTGCGCAACTCGGGAGGCCCGTCATTAATGTTTCTGGCATGTCATTCATGTTTCTGGCATGTCATTCATGTTTCATGATGACTCCTGTTTAAATCATTTGAGCATGTTTTTTTCCGCACTTGTCACACACACACACACACACACACAATTAGAAATACCCTTAATCCACTCTCACCTGTTTTGTGTGAATTATTGTACTTCAGGCACATTTGTTATAATGTAAAAACACTGACTGTGCTGTTCTCTTGAGCGTTACTTAGATTTTTTGAAAGGCGTGGCATTCCAAATCCTGAGTGATTTTTTTTCTTCTTCCTGACTTACTTTGTTGTCATGGGAACATGTTTGACAGACTTTGTTGACATGGTAACATAACATGTTTGAGCCTCTGCTGTTGCAGTAGTATTCAGGTTTTAACCGGCGTGAATGCATGTGCTTTGGTCTGAAAGCGATCCAGAACGTTCTCAGGGCAGAATGGAGGCCCCCCTCAGACCTAGCCTGGTCCCAGATCTGTCTGTGCTGTCTTTGCGCCAACTCATATGGTAATTGCCAGCCAAACAATACCCATAGGATTTGGAACGACAGCACAAATAGATGTGGGATCAGGCTACCTCAAACCCCCTTAGTTGACTGTATGATGGACGGTATATTGTTTTGTATGTAAGATGTGTGATTGATATGGACAGAGTGTTGAAAAGTAATTGAGAACAATTCTACTCCAAAACCATGAAGAAAGTTTATTTACAAAGTCATTGTAGGATCGTCATGCGATTTCACTCACTCAAATTCATCTTCATAAAATGTCATCTAAAAATGTAATGTTGCTGAAATGCTTTAGTGAAATAAATTCCATGTAAAATGCAACTTCAACATGAGGGCTTAGAGGAACCTGGCAACTTCCTTGGAACTAAATACATTGTGACCTTTGATCGAATCATTCCTGGCAACTTTCATCTGCCGACTCCTAAGCAGTGTCACGTTACTGTCAACACAAAAGCACTATGAATGATGATCATGATGAGTTCTTTTCAGTTATTTTATCGTCAGTGTCTGCTGATTGGTTTCTAATCAATGATGTATTTAGGCTGACTCTCAGATCTATGCAATCACTTTAATTAATCAATTAACTAATTAATAAATAAATCAATTAATGGTTTAGCCCCATAGGAAACAAGCAGAGTAGACACTGCTTCCCCTGAGGATGTGAGTTTTGTGTGAGTGCCAGACAGACGGTGCATCCCAGGTTGTATTCATTAGGCACCAAACAAAGGAAAACAGACTGAAACAGGGAGGGATTATCTGAACTTGTCCAATAAGAAACGTTTGTTTTTTTCTTCTGTTGCAAAACGTTTTGCTACGGTGTGCCCTAATAAATATGACCCCAGTCAGCCAGTGAGTACAATTGGTCATCCCTTCTGTCCAGAAGAGGGCACTGTTGTTCAGTCAGCAAAACAATCCAGAGTGAATCTTGAATTGAATCTTGTGATCTGAGTATTTGTTTGTGTTTTTTGCGAATAAAGCCTACTGGTTTAGGATCAATGATGATGTGCTGTATGTAATGATGTTTGTCTCGCCTTATGTTGTACAGATTACATGTGTGGTTTTTCCCTGTTGTAAATAGTCAATCTGGAATGATGAACCTGTAAAGAAACAGGACAAAAGACTCCCATGATTGTGACCCCCATGTTTTTTTTATGCATAACGGTTCACTTGTTTTTCAAATAAAGAAAGGTTGTGTCAATGCTTTGTAGGACTATGGCTTGATTCTATTGACTCTAGTCACTGCTCGGTATAATCAAAGTAGTAATCGCCAGATGGCAGCACTGTCTTACTAACAATGTTGAGCGAGAGTCGCATCAGGAGCTTTAAACATCACCCCTGACTTCATCCTTGTCTTGCTACTTGTGTACACAGTGTTTCAGCTAGCTTCATGGGTAACAGACGGCGCGGTTAAAAGGTGTTGCATACTAGTGAGATAGAACTACTTGACATCAGAGAAGATGAGATGAGTTGCCATTTAAAAATAAAAGCCTGATGACCTGTGAAATGTGTGCACATATGTCCGTGTGTGTTTGCCTGTCTTTGAGCTACCGAGCATGTGCACTGCAGCTCAGGGCTGGGCATTGGATAACAAGAGTCTCACGTGACTCTATATGGTCAGTGCGGGTGGGGACAAGATGGTGGTGGAGACATGGTGAAAAGAACAGGCAGAGCAGTGTGAGTTTGTGTTTGGTTAACTGAACAGAGCTTAGAGTGGGGTAGTGGTAGAGACTGGGGGAGGGGACAACACATAGCAGCATGCCCATGTTAAGAGTCAGGACTCAGCCTATGTTAAGAGTCAGGACTCAGCCCATGTTAAGAGTCAGGACTCAGCCCACGTTAAGAGTCAGGACTCAGCCCATGTTAAGAGTCAGGACTCAGCCCATGTTAAGAGTCAGGACTCAGCCCATGTTAAGAGTCAGGACTCAGCCCATGTTAAGAGTCAGGACTCAGCCCATGTTAAGAGTCAGGACTCAGCCCATGTTAAGAGTCAGGACTCAGCCCATGTTAAGAGTCAGGACTCAGCCCATGTTAAGAGTCAGGACTCAGCCCATGTTAAGAGTCAGGACTCAGCCCATGTTAAGAGTCAGGACTCAGCCCATGTTAAGAGTCAGGACTCAGCCCATGTTAAGAGTCAGGACTCAGCCCATGTTAAGAGTCAGGACTCAGCCCATGTTAAGAGTCAGGACTCAGCCCATGTTAAGAGTCAGGACTCAGCCCATGTTAAGAGTCAGGACTCAGCCCATGTTAAGAGTCAGGACTCAGCCCATGTTAAGAGTCAAGACTCAGCCCATGTTAAGAGTCAGGACTCAGCCCATGTTAAGAGTCAGGACTCAGCCCATGTTAAGAGTCAGGACTCAGCCCATGTTAAGAGTCAGGACTCAGCCCATGTTAAGAGTCAGGACTCAGCCCATGTTAAGAGTCAGGACTCAGCCCATGTTAAGAGTCAGGACTCAGCCCATGTTAAGAGTCAGGACTCAGCCCATGTTAAGAGTCAGGACTCAGCCCATGCAGGCAGCTGTGGGCCAGTGCCAGTCAGAGAAGGGGTGCTCTGCTCCTAGCTGCACTGTCAGACACAATGACACATCCATTCCCACAGGAGAGACTGGGTCACTGCCGCTGATGCCCCCCATGCACCCCTCTCTGTCTCTCACCCCCCCACCATGCCAAGAAGACAATGGTATGGTGTGGGAGGCAGAGAAACAATGTCAAACAGAAGATTTATTGCGATGAAACTCTCTCTAATTCAAAAAGGACATGATGAAGACATTCCAGCGTGTGTTGATGCTGAGGAAGAGAGGAAAGGAGTTGATGTACTTTCCTATTAGTTACATAAGCTACGTAGCAGTAACTATGGGGTGTGTAGATTACAATAGGCCACACAGAGTGCATTCTCTCTGCTAGCCCCTGCCTCCATGAGCCATGTAACATGTTCATTCTTCTATTTCTTTAAATGCTGCTCACTGAAACAGACCATGGCTCTCTTTTTTCCCCAAACCCATCCCATTCTCACCAATTCACTGCTAATCTAATCCTCTCTGCCTCTTTTCACTGCAAACCCATTGTGTTCTCCATTGTCAGCTATCCATGTGTGACCTAGCTGCATGTCCATGGCAGCATATCATTCATCTAATTTATCACATAGCAGCACCAATTGTATTGTGTTTGTGTGGGTTCAATGCACCACCACCAAACGCAGCCGATCAAATGTGTCGATGAGATATGTGAGGTGGGCTTGAGATATGTGAGGTGGGCTTGAGATATGTGAGGTGGGCTTGAGATATGTGTGTGTGTTTGGAATGTTATGGTCAACCAGGACTCATATTCACAAAGCGTATCAGAGTACGAATGCTTATCTAGAATCATGTCCCCCCCCCCCCCCCGTCCATGTAATCTAATTCGACGTGGACGTGGACGTCGATTAAGGCAGCCCCCCCGCACCTCTCTGATTCAGAGGGGTTGGGTTAAATGCGGAAGACACATTACGGTTGAATGCATTCAGTTGTGAAACTGACTAGCTATCTCCCTTCCTTTTCCCTTCACTTCCATAATTCATTATGATCCTAGATCAGCTCCATGAATATAGACCCCGGTTATGCGCTGGTCTGGGATCAGGGAGAGCTTAGCGTGTTATGGCGGCATGACAGCAGAGGAAGAACTCAGACAAGCTTAGCGTTAATGTGAAGTGACATCACACTGATGGGTTAATACTAATGTGGTAATACTTGGCTATCTGAATCTATAAAGGAGTTCCTTGTAGCCACCCCTCTTGTCACAGCCACGCCACACACACGGTCTGAACCATTGCTTTCTAGTAAAAAATTACCGTGCCACACAGGAGGCTGCTTAGGGGAGAATGGCTCATAATAATGCCTGGAACAGAGCAAATGGAATGGCATCAAACACCTGCAACCATGTGTTTGATATATTTGATACCATTCCACCTATTCCATTCCAGCCATTACCACGAGCCCATCCTCCCCAATTAAGGTGCCACCAACCTCCTGTGCTGTGCCACTATAATATTGTTGAAACTCTAGTATGAAAGACTACTGGCTATTACTGCTATGTTACTAACAAATATGTAATTAGTTTGGTCTGGCCCTGTAAACCAGGTGTTACATAAGGAGTTCCAGCATTTTAGAATTGGAAGCAATGAGTTGTGAGGAGGGCTGGGGACAGTTCCTCCACCTACAAAACCCCAATTTAACCCCTGCCCTGCCTGTGTAATTACAGGTCCCTTGAGGATGCTGCTGCTTGTCTAGCACTAGAGGATGTCTTGTCCACTCCCCTGGACATCAGTCTGTCTGTAGTCTCCTTTTCCCTGGACATCAATCTGTCTGTTGCCTCCTTTTCCCTGGACATCAGTCTGTCTGTTGCCTCCTTTTCCCTGGACATCAGTCTGTCTGTTGCCTCCTTTTCCCTGGACATCAGTCTGTCTGTAGTCTCCTTTTCCCTGGACATCATTGTGTCTGTTGCCTCCTTTTCCCTGGACATCAGTCTGTCTGTAGTCTCCTTTTCCCTGGACAGCAGTCTGTCTGTGGTCTCCTTTTGCCCTTGTTTTCTGACCCCCCTCAGCATCCACCTCACCCATCCAGACCAGCCTCTACTCCTGGATTTCCTCATTACCACATGAATGGCGTCTAGAAAGGGCCACCGAAGCCTTGTATGCTAACAGAAGGCAGGAGATTTGCAATTCAATCTCCACCCAAATCGGGACAGGCCTGTCACCAATATGACAGAGGACAGGGGGAGGGGGGGCTGCGCCTGCAACACAGCATCACCATCACACACAAACACACAGGCACGCACGCACGCACACGCACACACACACTACTTCAACCACCCATCTCACTTTTACAATCCATAATGTATGAGTTTTCCTATTTTTTGCATATGGTATTGTTATGAGACTGTTATAATCACACCTTTTAAAATAGTAGGCTATTAGAAATACCCTCAAACTTTCAAAGTTACTTTTCTAAACGAAAAGGCAAAGAAAAAAAGCTTATTTCAGACTTACATTAAACAGTTTTTAAAAAATTATTTTCCAAACGCAATGCTGGGATAGGCAACAATGTACCGGTATGTAACATTACATGTGTACTGCTTGGGATGGTTGAAACGCTAAGGTAAGGGATGAAAGCAAAAAAATATATATGAAGCGGAGAAAAATATTTGGGCAGCGTCACTTCCGGTGTTGGTGCATAGTTACTTCCTGTTTCTGAAGACAACAACATGGCGGCGCCCATAGCGCTAAACCTGGAGTTTGGTTTGGTATAAATACGCCTTTTATCAGTTTGACACAGACTTTTAAAATTTTTTCAAACACATATTTGACAAGACTTCGTTCTCAGTCGTGGTATTCGTTTCAAAAGACAGAAAATACATTTCGTTGGTTTTAACTATCGCAAATGTGCGGCTACCTACACTGCAGGAGGTGAATGACTGTCTTGCAGTCGCAAACTAACGTGAACGCTAAACATAGCGGACTAAACTCGAGGGTCCGCTAAAATAGCCAGCTATGTTAGCTACCTAGGCTAATTGAGCCTGTGCTTGTCTACATACAGTACAACTCCATTCAGATTAAACAGCAGCCTACCTGGTGGTTGCTCGTCGTTGTAGCCTACTCCTTTTCATTGAAGAAATGTACAGTAATTCCGTAATTTTATTTCAATTTTACGTTGATTAGAGATGTCTCACGTTGTTTGCTGCACAAGGAGCCACTGACTGTAGACAGTGGCGACAATAACAACAAACACGTGAAACCCGTGCATGCTACTACCTACGGCATGTCTAGTCATACAAACTACATTCAGAAGTTTGTGGCTTTATTGAATTAAGAATTTCAAATGTTATGGTATATCCTTGTGTGTAGCAATGTCACATATATCGTTTAATTTAATGTAGACAAAGCCTTTTCATTGTTAAAATACCTAGGTGTCTGGTTAGAATGTAAACTATCCTTCCAGACTCACATTAAGCATCTCCAATCCAAAGTTAAATTTAGAATCGGCTTCCTATTTCGCAACAAAGTCTCCTTCACTCATGCTGCCAAACATGCCCTCGTTATTCTGACTATCCTACCGATCCTTGACTTCGGCGATGTCATTTACAAAATAGCCTCCAACACTCTACTCAGCAAATTGGATGTAGTCTATCACAGTGCCATCGGTTTTGTCACCAAAGCCCCATATACTACCCACCACTGACCTGTACGCTTTCGTTTGCTGGTCCTCACTACATATTCGTCGCCAAACCCACTGGCTCCAGGTCATCTATAAATCCCTTCTAGGCAAATCCCCGCCTTATTTTAGCTCACTGGTCACCATAGCAACACCCACCCGTAGTCTGCGCTCCAGCAGGTATATCTCACTGGTCATCCCCAAAGCCAACACCTCTGGTTGCCATTCCTTCCAGTTCTCTGCTGCCAATGACTGGAACGAACTGCAAAAATCTCTGAAGCTGGAGACTCTTATCTCCCTCACTAACTTTAAGCATCAGTTGTCAGAGCAGCTTACCGATCACTGCACCTGTACACAGCCATTCTGAAATTAGCTCACCCAACTACCTCGTCCCCATATTGTTATTTATTTTGTTAATTTGCACCCCAGTATCTCTATTTGCACATCATCTCTTGCACATCTATCATTCCAGTGTTAATACTAAATTGTAATTATTTTGCACTATGGCCTATTTATTGCCTTACCTCCATAACTTACTACATTCGCACACACTGTATATATATTTTCTGTTGTATTTTTGACTTTATGTTTTGTTTACCCCATATGTAACTGTTTTTTTTTTTTATCGCACTGCTTTGCTTTATCTTGGCCAGGTCGCAGTTGTAAATGAGAACTTGTTCTCAACTGGCTTACCTGGTTAAATAAAGTTGAAATACAAATAAAATTAATTAATAAAAAATAGGCCCATGATTTTTCAAAATAGGTCCATGATTTTTCTCCCTTCAAAAATGAGTATTTTCAAGTATCATAAAAATGATTGCAGCTTTTAACCTTGAGTGGCTTGTTGAAAGAGTCATACAGTAGTTGAGCATCACAATATATTTATACTTATCTGTACAACATATTATTGGTTTATTCAGGGTTTCCCAATCTCGACCTTGCCACCCCCAGTGCACGTTTTGGTTTTTCCCCCTAACATTACACAGCTTATTCAAATAACCAACTCATCATCAAGCTTTGATTATTTTAATCAGTTGTGTAGGGGGGCAGGATCGAGTTTGGCAAACCCTGTGTGAATTGGTTGGCTATTACTTGATTATGTACACTTGGGGTAATGGATATTAAGGATAATGAACATTTACAAAATGTTCAGATAGAAATGTATTGTGTAGATTAAATCTGAATGTCAGATGTATTGGTATAGTTTAGGAGATTGCTTTATTAATTATATTTCTATCTTCAACATGCAGTTCCAGATACAGCCCTGACATTAGTTGAAGGCAGCCAATCCAATAGTTTCAGAAAAATAGTCTCTTCCTGAGATCTGTATTGAAATATTTTTTTTATGTAGTTGCTTTCTTAGATCTGTAGTCAAA